AATTAGATATGTTCTTTTTGTGACGATATCGACTATTCTCAATTCTTTGCAATTATTTTTTCATGTTTGGAAAAATAAAATTATACGGGGTCATGCTTGACATGTATGTAGAATCATCAATAAAAGGGAACTAGAAGAGAAAACTTGTTCACATTTTATTTTAGTAAAATAATAGAAAAGTTGAGTTACAAAACAATGCGACACGTATTATGTACAACGCCAGGCAAAATAATATTAATCATTTATAATCCTTAAGTAAATAACACATCTGGTGTTTACACAAGCAGAGGTGCTCGCTAGGTTGTTGTATTTTGTTTATAAATGTACTATTTGTATTTACTGATAGTTTCTGCGATTGTACCTTTGGTATCAGTATTTCAGAAAATTCATTGACTTCAACCAACAGATAATTTCAATAAGATACTAGTAATTATTGTAATATGTATGAACTATACGGTGGGCGGGAGTCGGCCACAATTCGCCATCCCGGAAATAGTTTCAAACACAGTCTTTGCAGTTATATACATTTATTTAGATTTTAGATTACTAAATATATAGAACTTCAAGGATTCAATCAACAAGATATGAAACACGTGTGTGTCCGAAACTACCTACACTCGAGATATACAACTTAGCCATCTGCCGTCGATGCATCAACAGCAGAACGTTTATTTTCATTGAACAATGCACATTATTTACGAGAATCCACTACACCGCGAAGAAAATTCAAGAACTGCATCATTGCGCTTGTGCAACGACCTCACCCGGAAGTTTTAGCGCACGGAAAATTCTTCGCATGACACCGGGCTTCAAATGAGGAATTGCAAATTTGTAATTTCGTACGAATTACGACATTTAATGGGAAAATGGTTTATACACTTTCAACAAAATAAGATTTGTGTACGAATTACGGAAGAATAGAATAGCTGATTACGTTTTACACCTTGCTCATGTCTACGAAATTACGTTTTTTTATTTGTTTAAATTACATTATTACAAAAAATAAAAACAATTGATTACAGCTTATGATAATACCTCTTGTCGACCGTCATATCACATGATTCGCAACTACGGGTTGTAAATCGGGCACACTAATGTTTATGACTTATTTAAAAAATCGGTGTGATTGTCAAAGCTGAGGTGATAGAACGGTCAACCAAACTAATTGCACAAACAAACAATATGTTATCTAAAATAATTGAAATGTGTGCAATTTTGGCGCGACACACAAAGCTTACCTACGTGCTATGAGGACATTTTAAACAATTTGGTCTACCATCATGTTGTGAATATATCGTGCACACCTGATTTCTAAAATATACGAAGAAAACGAAAAACGACAAGAAAAAATCTCGCTCATAAAACCCATGCACATATCATGGCTGATGTTTGGTCTATAATGAGATGCACTCAATCATAATTTGATCACCTTCAAATGATCTATGACGAGATATAAATTTGTTTAAAACAGCCTTACCAATGGAGCTATAAAAATATGTGCTATAACGTCAGTAACTCGGTGCTCCGGTACACATGCCCAATTGAGACGAGTCGTAGATACATGACGCAATATTTACCAATTAACACTATGTGGTATAAAAAAAATATTTCTATATGAACTATAATAATAATTTGTAGTACTCAAGAATGGACAAAAACTAATCTAGTACTTTGGATATTAAAAACGATGACAGAATCTCAATTGCCAAAATGAATATATGCGTAGATCAAATTGGTATTTGAGTACTAGATAGATGAAGTTGTACGACATCGTGTTATAATAGTAGAAACAAACCAGGTGACGATTCAAAACCACGTGAACACGTGTATAATAATACATAAATGGATTTCTATATCATTTTAACTCCTAAACCAACAATAATGTTAATTACAATAACAGCGAAAAATATATACTAGTATGCAAGTTATTGCAAAACATGCGTAAATTATCACGCGTAGTATTTCTTCGCAAAGTTCGGTTAAAGAGCTACGTGATTATGTCAATTCATTGCTCTCGATTTAAATTTAAACTCTTCATTGTACGTCACGTGTAGCAAGCTTTTGGTAAATATACATACGAGTTTTACACCATGCCGTTATATAGATTTAAAAATAATTAAACAATACGAGACACAAATGCATAATCTTTAGCTCGTTGTGGTGCATATAGTTTCTCGCTTGTTTTCTTTAAAAATTTAATAATTTGTGTTACCGTGATTTTCAAGTAACTGACCGATTTTCATGTAGCCGACTGATTTTCATGTAGCCGACCGATTTTCATGTAGCTGACCGATTTTCATGTAGCGGAGTAATTTTCAAGTAGCCGACGGATTTTCATGTAGCGGACTAATTGTATATATGGGCCACCGTAGAAAATTGATATTTTGTAGTTTATTTACTAGGTCAAAGAACTGTTACCTTCAAAGAAATATAGCTGCAGTCATGTGTAAATCAGACGATGCATGATGAATTCAATTTTCGGCTAGAAACATCAAATTTGGCACACATATTAATTAATATATTTTATAGTGCTAACAGAACTAGCGCCTTCTAAGTTCTACTGGATGAGGCGATAATTCATATATATGAATTGAATGAAGTGCTTATGACTTTCCTCAAAAATCTATTATTTTGGAGTACTCCAATGAAACATAAAAAGTTTTTAATAGTGACACTGTTCGTATTTTTAAATGACCCAAAATAAAAAACAAAGCTAAATTTGTTTTCTGCTCAGACGACGAACGATCGAAAGAAACTTTTTTGCAAGTTGTAACCGCTACGTTCGGTTGAGAACGTAGAACTTTTGTCGAAGTCATTACCGATGATAATAGAATGTACGACATATTTAAAATCGAAAAAAAAACAACAACAATAGTTTACGTGAAATTCGTTTAAGTTAGTGCAATCATGTATATCCAATCGTGTCTTTCATTTCGTCAACCAAAGGTCACATACCGGAACTCCTCGACGATTATTGTTCATCAAATTTGCATATTTATCGCAATGGTATTTTTTTTCCATCGGGTCAACAAATCAGTCGGGTATTAGTACGTTTTTTTTTTAAATTATTTATAATTGGGTTCGTGTGATAGTTATTATATAGCATTATAACGGGAAGTCCACATCATGTGTTGCAGTGTACCCCAGACTACTAGTTTCAATGAATGGTATAAGTAGTCACAGTGCGGCTTGTGGGTAAGATTAGAATATGAATACCAAGAAGTTGAGTTTTTCGGCGACGGATTTTACTATTCAGTTGAAATTGTCGCGTCTTGGGAAGGATCGTTAATGGGTGAATGCTGTTGAAAATTCATAAGTTGGTCCTAGTCTTGCCTACGCCGCAACAACAAAGGATTAATTTTCATCAAGGATCGATCCATCGATCGATTCGAACTGAACTGAAACAAACTTCCCTTACTACAATATCCCGGCAACACACATAATTGTGTACGTTCGATCCCGGCGTTCAGAGATCTGTTTAGAAAACATCTCACTGTAATCGAAACATGTTATTCTGTTGCGTTTATTAAAAAAAAAAGGTTTTCCAGTGGCCATCATAACTCTTTGAAGTTTTTGGATGTAACCCCGGAGTAAAATTCTTGTCCACGGGGCCTAAATTAACAGGGAGTAAATTGGCAGAGCTGTTCATACATTGACCAATCATGCGAGAGCTCATAAATACCAACAATCTAAAT